TCTCTCTCTCCCTCTCTCTCTCCCTCTACCTCTCCCTCTCTCTCTCCCTCTCCCTCTCCCTCTCCCTCTCCCTCTCCTTCTCCTTCTCCCTCTCTCCCTCTCCCTCTCTCCCTCTCCCTCTCCCTCTCCCAATTTCTGTGCCCAGTTTAATTCATATCCGGTTAGGTCCATTTAATTTCTTGCGCGCATATGACTCTCGGTGACTTTACTGAAATTACTTAAAATTAATGTATTCGAGTTTATACAAGAGACACGCAAAATAATCTCACATAATTTAAAACAAACCGTTTTCGTGGTCCTTGTATTTTGAGTTTTATCTATCTATTTATCTATCTGGTGTATCTGTCTAAAGATGTCTATCGATTTGTTTCTCTCTCTGACTGTATCTGTCTATCTGTACTTTTGTGTTTTACTATATTTGTGTATATTTATCAGTCTATTTATCTTCTTTTTTTCCTTTACCCGTTTGTACAGCTATTTCTCTCTCTCTCTCTCTCTCTCTCTCTCTCTCTCTCTCTCTCTCTCTCTCTCTCTCTCTCTCTCTCTCTCTCTCTCTCTCTCTCTCTCTCTCTCTCCCTTTCTCTCTCTCTCTCTCTCTCTCTCAAATAACGTAATGTATTTCGTATGTTTTAGGGAAGAATAGATAGACAATGAGTTAATATGAGGTGCGCTTGAAGGAATATGGAAAATGAGAAGGAATTTTATTTTCAAGTTAGTTCTCGTAAAGGAATTCCAGGTTGCCTTTAATTTTAATTAGTATCATACCACGCCGGTGGTAGGAATATGTTAGTCTGGAGCCTGGATTATGCTAATCTAGAACTATGCAATCCAGAACAGAATCCTGTCTTAGGGGGGTAAGGATATATATCAGAGAGGTAACGCTTTGCGAGGAATGATATATATATATATCTTGGCTTACTGAAGGTGACGAGGATCGAGCGTGTGTTGTAAGCGAGAAAAAAAAATAGAAATAAAAATATATATATATATGATTTCCTTTATCTCTGAATTCATTCGCGACGAGTTGCTATTGCATCACCAGCTCGTTAAGACCCAACGCGAAGGATATTTCGTTATCAGCAATACATATAATGGAAAACCCAACATCAATGCAGGCCCCATTTACTGTCCTGCTCCCCTCCCCTCCTCCCCCTCCTCCCCCCCAAAAAAATGGGTGAAAAAAAGTTGGAACCATTTCATTCGATCTTGGTCGTTCAGCTCCGTGTATCTAACTTTTGTACCAGCTCACCGAATGGAATTACAAATGAGCTGGAGATAAATGGTACAAGTTGCCTAATAAATCCGACGGGTATTTTCAGGTACAGAACCATTAATGGCCTCCACAAGGACCTTGTAAACACGGGGATGTACAGCAGAGGGAAAGTTATAGGGCGCTGTAAACAAAGTTATCGTTTGGGATAAATTCAAAGTTATCGGCCGGCTGTGGCGAACTTAAGCTGTTCGCTGTGCATGAACTTAAAGTTGGTGAATACGATCGGGTGCGATGGCAAAAACTTTTTCATTATCTTTTTTAGGAAGGGAAAAACTGTTTACCGGAAAGTCGTCGAACTAAAATAAATAGTTATATATATATATATATATATATATATATATATATATATATATATGTGTGTGTGTGTGTGTGTGTGTGTGTGTGTGTGTGTGTGTGTGTGTGTGTGTGTGTGTGTGTGCGTGTGTGTGTGTGTGTGTGTGCGTGTGTGTGTGTGCGTGCATGCGTGTGTGTGTATGTGCGCGCGCGCGCGCGTGTGTATATGTTCACAGACACACACACATACACACACATGCATAAAGAGAGAGAGAGAAAGATAAAGAATGTTATATACTCTCCCCTATCTTACTTCACATCCAGTACCAAAGATAAAGATCAAACCATTACTCTATATTCCAAACAACCTTTAACATCAACCTAAAAAAACAAAAAAAAAAAAAAAGAAAAAAAAATTAAAAAAAAAAAAAAAAAAAAAAAAAAACTCTTTATGTAAATTCTGATTGTCAACTTTTGTACCCTGGCGCTTATCAAGTTTTCCCGAAATTTAAATATCACGCTTTATAACCTCACGTATCAGTCTCATAAAGTCTTAACTGAAGCAAAGATAAGTTGAAGTAAAGAACTTGTGCGAGGGAAATGCCCCCCCCCCCCAGGAGCCCCGAGTCAAGATTGATCTTTTTTATCTATCTCTCTATCTATCTACCTGCTTTGTATAATTTGTTAATCGTGTTCCGCAGTTTAAAAAAGATGATTATAAGAGCTAATGACCCTGATTACAGTTAATTAGGGCACTAATTGCTGCATATTTTTACTGAAACCGAAGCAAATATCTATTATATATATTACAGCGTTAAATGCAGGCTACATAAAGCGATAGATAGCATATATGAGTGATTTCATTTGCACTTTTCTTTGATGTGATAATGACACTTCAGTAAAAACCATTGTATCATTTATATAACAGTATCAGCCATGTTACGTAATGCATAG